CTCAACATTTCAGCCGGTAAGCGTGTCTGATGTTGCACAATGCTTGCAAACTGTGAGTCCTCACAAAGCATCTGGGAGTGACAACATTCCTGGAATTGTACTGCAGCAGTGTTCAGATGTCCTGGCACCTCCATTTACCACCCTAGTCAATGCATCCTTGACATCAGGTACTGTGCCAGTGTGTTTTAAAACATCACACATTAGTCCACTGTTCAAGAGTGGCGATGCAACATCCCCTACTAACTATAGACCAGTGTCATTGCTCCCTATTCTGTCCCGGGTTTTGGAGTTCTTTGTAAAGAAGCAACTCACAGCATACCTCACGCAACATAGTATATTACCTAGCAGCCAGTTTGCCTACAGGAAAATGCACTCTACCGAAGATGCATTAGTTCTAGCCGCCAACCGTTGGCTGTTGGCCAAACAAGAGCGAAAATACACAGGTATAGTGATGGTTGACATGTCAAAAGCGTTTGACCTTGTCCAACATCAACGTCTGATTGATAAACTATTCACCCTGGGAGTCAATGGCAGAGTATTGTTATGGTTGGCTAGCTATCTGTCTGGTCGTACTCAGCGTGTCAAGATGTGTGAGGCTCTCTCTGATGCAGTCCCATGCTCAAGAGGTGTGCCCCAAGGCAGTGTTCTTGGGCCGCTTCTCTTTGTCCTTTACACGAGTGACATTTCCGACGTCATACCTTGCAGTGTTGTTCATCAGGAGTTCGCGGACGACATCATCCTAGATTATTCTGATTCAGATCTGGACACTGTTTGCAAGACGTTGACTACAGCTGTGACACGTCTGTCTGACTGGCTCTCCGAAATTGGGCTTCTGCTGAACACCCGCAAAACCCAAGTCATGGTAATTCAACCTCGGGGACTCACTGGCGACATACCAGTCGTGAAATGTAAGGATCAAGCCTTAACTGTTACCTCCACTGCCAAATACCTTGGCGTAACCATTGATGACCAGCTATCCTGGCAGCCACATGTCTCCAGTGTTGTGCAGAAGGCGTCAGTCGCCATCAGCCAGCTATGGCGCCATGGGCGATCTCTGCCCATAAGAGCCCGCAGACTTTGGTACATTGGCATTGTGCAAGCACGACTAACGTACGCATCCAATGCATTCTTCCCGTCGCTGACACAGCAGCTGCAGAGTCGTTTAATCAAATCCAGCAAATCCGGAATTCGTGCAATTTTCCGACTCTCCAGCCGTGCATCCACAGCCCCCCTCCTCGTGCGCTTATCTATTCGATCCCTAACTCACATTTTTAACTACAAGGTTTTGTTTTTTGTTTTCCGTTGCCTACATGATCTTGCAAGTCCTCTTTTCTGCGCCTACTTTCAGTTGATGGCTAACACAGGTCAAGCATCCCGGGATGATCGCCGAATTACTCGAGGACAGGAGCAGCGGCTACTGCAAGTGCCTTTCCTTCCTGGACCTTCCGGTCGTCAGTCATTGACATTTGTGGGAAGCACTCTTTGGAATGCCCTTCCCAGCGATATTCGCCTCCACAGTGCGGCGGTTGCCTTTAAACTGGCTCTGAACAGAATTAATTGTAATTTGTAACCAACTTGCTCGGCATCCCTAAACATTACTGCATGTTTTCTCGGTGTTTTCTTCACTGCATGCTTACACATACAAACACCCATTTGAATTATATACAAACTTTGTGCTTTGGAATTATCATGTTATGATTCTTTTACATATTTCCTTCTCTCATAATATTATATTCGTTCTTAGCAGGAACCGGAGGTTTTTCCTCTGGTGAGAAGGCAGAATTGCCTGTGCTCTAAACGAATTCAAATAAAAGAAACAAACAAACAAACAAACTTTGCAACCGTCAATGTATCCATAGTGACCTCCTGAAAATGCCGGGAAATGTTGAACTTTCCCTTGTTCAAGCACTGAATTCGCAGTACGCACTTTCAACAACCGACACTTTTCCTGGCGTGCAAAGATAATTGCGAGCAAAAGGGCCTCGGCCAAGATAAAAATCAGTTGCACGCGTGTGTCCAAGTTTATCGTATCCGAGTAAATATCCTTGGAAACAGTACGATAAAAGTAAGTTTGCCCGTCGTGTGAATGGCCTATTATGTACAATCCTGCAGAGCCTTTGTAGTCACAGATACGGGATAGATACGGGACAGATACGGGATAGTGCCAGGCGTGACACAAACAAACAAACAAACAAACAAACAAACAAACACACATTCAAATACCAAACGAGAGAGCTTGGAAGCTCAGGGCCCTACGCTATGCTTTTTTGCCTAGCTCATCGTACATGTTATAAGAACTGATGGAAATGTTTTTTTTCCGTTGATTGGCCACATCATTGTATTGCAAAAACATGCATGATGAGCAAGCAAAAAAGCATAGCGTAGGGCCCTGAGCTTCCAAGCTCTCTCGTTTCCGAAGTGACGCGCAATTTCACGTCAAATTTGAAATCGATCGGTATTTTTGCTCTCACATGCATCCATTGCTCAATCATGCATCATTTGCCTATATGACAAACTGTGGCCTGCGATTTACTTTGGCCGGTTGGTACCAAGCGGCGAAATCAGCGAAATTAAATCGCCAGCGAAAATTAGTTGATTTTAATACAGTAATCGGATTTTCTGGCCTTTTTGTAGTAATACATGTACATTGACCTGTTGAGCCAATGACGACGCCGAATGCATTGGTTGCCTGTGGAGCACATTACATAACTTAGCAGTCTCCTAAAATACGTATCCTGTCCGACGGCAAAAGAGTCTGCAGATTTAGTTTTTCTGCGCGTCGACCGGATGTCTGCGACTCGAAAGTTCAGCTCGCGTTATTTGGCTCGCACGTCGAAGAATCAACGCGAGTGACCTGCTGCTCACGTGGAAATTTGGACATTACATAACTTTACAGTCTCCTATAATACGTATCCTGTCCGACGGCAAAAGAGGCTGCAGATTTAGTTTTTCTGCGCGTCGACGGGATGTTTGTCCTGACGTTCACTGGGACCGGCGCTGACTCTGCCGATCACGGGCGTTCTGGACTCAACGGGATGTCTGTCCTGACGTTTCCTGGGACCGGCTTAGACTCTGCCGATCACGGGCGTTCTGGACTCAACGGGATGTCTGTCCTGACGTTGCCTGGGAGCGGCGGACTCTGCCGATCACGGGGGTTCTGGAGTCGACGGGATCTCTCTTCCGACGTTTCCTGTGACCGGCGCTGAATCGCTCGTTCACGCTTATTTTGGAGACGATACGATCTCTCTTCCAAAGTACATGTATGTTTATGCTGACGCTATTTATGCTGACGCATCCTATCACCTATTCGGCGTCTATTCTAATTTAATTTCCTTCTCGTCTTCCTATTTCTTTCCAAATCTCCCTCTACATCAGGGAGTCGTGTACATAATACGACAAATATTGGTACGGTACGGGACAGATACAGGAGCCCGCAAATATTGTGGACAGCTGTTATGTACAATCCTGTAGAGCCTTTGTAGTCACAGATACAGGACAGATACGGGACAGATACGGGATAGCGCCAGGCGTGACACAAACAAACAAACAAACAAACACACAAACAAACAAATACCAAACGAGAGAGCTTGGAAGCTCAGGGCCCTGCGCTATGCTTTTTTGCCTTGATGACCTAGACAAAAAAAAGCATAGGGATGTTTTCTTAAAAAAAATCCTTTTTTTAAACCTGGGATTCGAACCCGCACTATCGCGCGCCCTGCATGCAGCCCCCGATACACTTCGCATACATACTAATTCTTCCAAGTTGTTTCACATCGTGATCTTGCATTTGAAAGCCCTATTTGAATATGCATTGTGGCCAGCCATCTTTGATGGCACGGTACGGTAGGGAATAGGTACGGGACAGGTACGATCGAGGGTAATACGACACGGTCTAGCTGCCCGCAATATTCAAATAGGGCTTTCAAACGCAAGATTAACGTGAAGCAACTTGGAAGAATGGGTATGAATGCGAAGTGTATGGGGGAATGCATGTAGGGCGATAGTGCGGGTTCGAATCCCAGGATATGCCTGAAAAAAAGGAGAATTGAAAAATTTATAACATCCTATGCTTTTTTGCCGTCAGATACGGATGGCGTCAGGCGTGACACAAACAAACAAACAAACAAACAAACACACAAACCACACAAACAAACAAATACCAAACGAGAGAGCTTGGAAGCTCAGGGCCCTACGCTATGCTTTTTTGCTTGCTCATCATGCATGTGACGTGCCAAAGCCGTGTGAACCCTGGCTAGCGCCAAACGATACTGAAGTAACGTCTGTTGCATTACTACGGGATTAATATTTTTTGTTTATTTTTAATTTTTAATTTTTTTGTGTCACGCCCGGCGCTACCCCGTATTTGTCCCGTACCGTACCATCAAAGGCAGCTGGCCACAAACAGCTGGCCACAACATTTTTTGTTTGTTTGTGCCATCGGCATGCCTGGCGCTATCCCGCACCTGGCTCGTTTCTGCCGATCACGGGCGTTCTGGAGTCGACAGGATGTGTGTCCTGACGTTTCCTGTGAACGGTAGGCATATGCGGATTGTCGTGCTACGACTTGCTACGTCATAATTCTCACAGTCACCCACGTGGCTTTTGTGCTGCCCACGCTGCACTTTTCCGCAATGTTTTTGGAAGCACTGGCTTTAGCGTACGTTAGCATATTGGCGTACCGTATGCCACGAACCTCACTTTTGCATACGGTTGCCGCCAGCCAGCTTGCCTTTTCTCTTCCTGACAATCTCTCTCTGCTTGCTTGGCCCTTGCCGAAGCACCTTTTTATGGCTCCTTGCCCCTGTACTTATTTCTTGTTCATATGTAGTCTGCCGAATCTTTCTAACTGTAACGTGTAAAGTAATCATTGCCGCTAACTGTCGAAGTGTCCGTTGTGACCAGGAAGTGGCCCGATTCGCGCGCCCCCTTAGCAGGCGCAGACCTAAATTTGCTAAATTGGTGACCCCGATATTTCTGTAGGCAAGGCTACATTGTTCACCATGACCACGCCGGCCAGCAACGGGAAGGGCCGTGGAAAACCTTTCCCGGACGCACCCTCAGTTACCAGGGAGGAACTCATGGAGCTCAGGCAACAGCAGCAGGCTCTGCTGGATCAGCTCAACAAGGCACAGGCCACAGCCAGTACCAGTGGTAGTGTTATTGGGAGTAGCCCTGAGTTGGACCGGCCCCCAGCTGTGGCAGCCGTCAGTATCAAGCTGCCCGATTTTTACCCTTCGGATCCCGCTCTGTGGTTTGCCCGGGCTGAGTGTCTCTTCAGTCATCGTGGCATCACTGCCCAGCGGACCAAGTTCGATTATGTAGCTGCGGCACTGTCGGAGCAGTTCTCCATGGAGGTCCGAGAGCTGCTCATCAGTCCCCCGCAGACTGAGCCATACACGACGCTGAAAAGCCAGCTCATCGCCCGCACTCAGATGTCTGAGCAGAAGCGACTCCGGCGTCTGCTCACGGAAGAGGAGCTTGGAGACCGCACCCCATCCCACCTGTTGCGCCGCATGCAGCAGCTTATTGGCTCCAGCCAATTGGATGAGTCGATTTTACGGGAGCTGTTTTTGCAGCGACTTCCGAGCAATGCCCAGCTGGTCCTTGCGTCGACCCCAAAGGCTACAAGCCTTTCCGAATTAGCTGCCATTGCTGACCGGGTTATGGAGACAACCCAGGCCTCAGTCTCCGCCATCCAACGCCCACCACAGGACGACGCTCGGATGTCCGCCCTGGAGCAACAGATTGCTGCCCTGACCGAGGCCGTCAGCTCTCTGCATAAACGGTTGGACGGATCCCGGGGTCGCAGCCCTGGCCGTGGATCTGGTCCACCGCGCTCACGGAACAACTCGCCCGGTCGGCCCGGCCTGTGTTTCTTTCATAGCAAGTTTGGCGACCAAGCTAAGAACTGCCGACCACCCTGCTCCCGGTCGTCAAACTAGCTGGCCAGCCCCTGTTGGCGACCAGCACCGCTGGCCTGCAGACCACATGTCGCCTATTCTATGTCCGAGACCGTGTCACGGGTTTGCGTCTCCTAGTCGACACTGGCGCCGCCGTCAGTGTCTTGCCAACCACGTTCCGCAAAGGCAAGCAGACCGCCGTCATTGACACGTTGCGTGCAGCCAACGGAACTAGCATTCCCACATATGGCTGTCGATCGCTCACCCTTGACCTCGGTCTTCGTCGGTCATTCCCATGGCTCTTTGTGATCGCCGATGTTTCTAGTCCAATTCTCGGAGCCGATTTCCTCCACAAGTTCGGTCTCACTGTAGACATCCGCAACCGTGCCCTGCATGACACCGTAACCGATCTCGCCACGAACCTCACTTTTGCATACGGTTGCCGCCAGCCAGCTTGCCTTTTCTCTTCCTGACAATCTCTCTCTGCTTGCTTGGCCCTTGCCGAAGCACCTTTTTATGGCTCCTTGCCCCTGTACTTATTTCTTGTTCATATGTAGTCTGCCGAATCTTTCTAACTGTAACGTGTAAAGTAATCATTGCCGCTAACTGTCGAAGTGTCCGTTGTGACCAGGAAGTGGCCCGATTCGCGCGCCCCCTTAGCAGGCGCAGACCTAAATTTGCTAAAGGATAATGCCGGCAGAAAAATTGGCAAATTCGTTACTTTTTTGGTAAGTTTCATGCATGTTTGGTATGTGGATAAAGAAATGGAGCAGAATTGGAATTGCCCGCCACAGGTTTGTATGGTTCTGCCAATTTCACTGCTTTTCGAGCAGAATCTGCCACCTTTTCGAGCATTATCCGCACACCCCTAGTGACTGGCGCTGACTCTGCCGATCACGGGCGTTCTGGAGTCGACGCGATGTCTGTCCTGCCGTTTCCTGTGACCGGCGCTGACTCTGCCAATCACGAATGTTCTGGAGTCGACGGGATCTCTCTTCCGACGTTTACTGTTACCGGCGCTGACTCTGCCGATCACGGACGTTCTGGAGTCGACGGGATCTCTCTTCCGACGTTTCCTGTGACCGGCGCTGACTCGCCCGTTCAGGATTATTTTGGAGACGACGGGATCTCTCTTCTAAAGGTTGTTTTTGCTGACGCATCATGTCACCCATTCGGCAACTAACGTCCAGTCTAATTGCATTTCCACATCTCCCTACTTCGTATTAATTTCCAGAAAATCTCCCTACACAGCAGGGAGTCGTTTACATAATACGATTACCTGCTATACATCTTTATACGTTAATTATTATGCTTTCGGCCTACATGCGATTCCCGGGCTGGTCGACAGGCGGCCCAGCCAGCCTGCTAGTGGGATCTCGGCCTCGCACACAAATCCACACAAAATGTTACTGCACTGAATGCATTCCCCCCGATACACTTCGCATATATACTCATTCTCTTGATTGTACCGTATTCTTGATGGTACGGGACATGTACGGGATAGCGTCAGGCATGCCGATGGCACAAACAAACCAAAATGTTGTGGCCAGCTGTCTTGGCTGGTACGGTACGGTACGGAACAGATACGGGATAGCGCCAATCGTGACACAAACAAACAAACAAACAAACAAACAAACAAACAAACAAACAAACAAACACCAAATTAAAGCTGTGTGGACCCTGGCTAGCGCCAGACGTTACTGAAGTAACGTCTTCTGCATAGCTACGGGAATTAAAGCTGTGTGGACCCTGGCTAGCGCCAGACGTTACTGAAGTAACGTCTTCTGCATAGCTACGGGAATTAAAGCTGTGTGGACCCTGGCTAGCGCCAGACGTTACTGAAGTAACGTCTTCTGCATAGCTACGGGAATAATTATGATGTTTCAATGGAGAACTGGTAGGGTAAACACTAATAATTATGATGTTTCAATGGAGAACTGGTTTACAAACAATTGTTTTGACTCAAAATTGTGTAGAAGTTGCGACTTCCGCGGTATTAGTCATGAAGTAACTGGTTGGTTCACGGAAGAACACACGCTTTTTGCCGAATTTGACACTTGACAGACTCACGACTGCCATCCGGAGCACATGAGGAATCCCGTCGCACCTTCCACTCGGCAAACCTGCTAGAAAGCAACAATCTCTGCTCAATACACAGTGTTCGGGGGAATCCACGCCTCATCAGAGAAGTTTGAGTAGGCTGAGGAAGATTGTGCCTGAACTACACCACTTATACATGTATACGGCTCGCCAGAGCAAACCATCAACAGGGATACAAACTTACAGATACATTTAGTTTCCAACGCGACAAACACCTCGTGAACCCACAGGTAACAGCTAGAGTCAGAGTCGTCATGGAGTTGCACTCAACAGACGGTGAGAGCCAGTAAATATTCACGACGCTGTCACCTTCAACAACTAGTCACACGTTCGGGTGAAGGACAACGATATACGAACTTAGAAGTGGCAATTTCGCCCCTGTTAGTCATGAAGATGATTGTTTCAACGAGGAAAACACGCCTCTTGCCGAACTTAACCCTTGACTGATTCACTTTCTTGGAAGCCTGCCGAGTGTAAGGTGCGAGGTGCTTCTCGTGGGCTCCGGATTGCAGCCGTGGGTCCGTCAAGTGTCAAGTACTGCAAGAAGCGTGTGTTCCTCGTTGCAACTGCCAACTTCACAATTGTTTTTACTTTCAAATGTTTTTCCGCACTCAGAGTGGGCAATTCTTCGCCATCCTTCAAGCGTAGACTAAGGCAAGTGTGGCCACCACCATAAGGTATATGCGGATTATGCCGGCATACAAAAAGATTGCCAGAATTCGGTACTTTTCTGGTAAGTTTGATGCATGATTAGTACGTGGATAAAGAAATGGAGGAGAATTCGAGGAATTGCCCACCATAAAACAGGTTTGTATGGTTCTTCCAATTTGTTCTCTGCTTTTCTAGCAGAATCCGACACCTTTTCGAGCTTTATCCGCCAATGCCTAGCCACCATCGACATAATTATTGATCATTGATATCATTAATATTATGTTTAATAATAAATAGTTTGAAAGTGGCCATTGGTCATGGACCAGGAGTTGAGAGAAATAAATGAAATAAGATTTAGTCGATCGGCTTAGTGGTCGTAGGTAGAAATGTGCTGAGTCTTTTCTTTCAAGTGTTCCCAAGCTGCCCAGTCACTAGGGGTAAGAGGATTATGCTGAAGAAATGACTAGAATATGCTCTAGACGATGCTCGCAGAATGCTCGAGAAAACAGCCAATTATGTTTATAATTACACACACTTGAGAGGGACGAAAAGCGTTTCTTCTGTAACTCTGAGTTTCACGGTTTTAACCGATCATCAGACAGCAACTTGACTACAAGTTTCAGAAGATAAGATTGATATAGGCTGCAAGCTTGGATCATAGCGCGAATGGATGATCCGGGCTGATAGTGTAATTGTAAAAATGCGTGAGTTGGTTGATGGGGTGCAAAAATAGGCGCAAAAAAAAGAATACACTTTAGGCCTAGGCTCATGCGACCACATGTTCTTCTGAGGGAGGCAAGAAGAAGGACAATTCGGTAATTATGAGCAGCACATCACCTCCGACTGCGAGTGGTGAGAAGGTTATGTGACGGCTGATGGTGAGAATTTTGAGAGGTAGTACTTATTTTCATGCCTGCACTTGCTAACTGTAGTGTTCACGTGTTCCTACGCGCTGTGGCATTCCTTGGCCACTCCAGACATTCATGATGCATGTAGTAGTAGTAGTACATCGTGATGTTATGCATGTAGCATGTGCCGTTTCCCGCGCGCGCGTGAAACGGACTTCGCGGCTTTTAGTTGCTGTGCATGGTTTGACTCTGGAGTCTTGTTGTTTTGGACTGAAGAAGAAACAATACCACATTGGCGCTGCGAACTATTTCGTTCCTCCGCGGCGAGCATGGGTGACCGACCACCCGCCATTCCGCCCCCTGGACCTTTTCCTATTTATGTCTCCCTCTACGATGCCGCCACGCGCTGGCTCGCCTGGACACGGAGTTTCAAACTTTATCTTGCTGCGTCCAAAATTGGCGATGACGACCAACAGCGTGGGCTACTCCAGTACCTGGGAGGAGACGACATCCAGCAACTCGTGCCCACTCTCAGCAACACAGGGGCAACATTCGACGACCTCGCCAAAGCATTGCAGGACGAGTTCGATAAACACCAAAACAAAACGCTCCTCAGGTTCAATTTCCATCCGCTTCGTCAACAGCCGAACGAGACTATGGAGGGTTGCTGTTGTCGTTTGGGCGACCACGTGAAACGCAGCGGCTTCTCGGATACGGCCGCTGAGAAATTGGCTGTCTTGGACCAGCTGATTATCGGCTGCAAGTCCGACGCCCTTCGGCGAAAACTGCTGGAGATCGATGGCCTCGACTCCGACAAAGCTCTGAAAGCAGCTCGCGCGTATGAGGCCAGCATCACCCATGTACTCGCCATCAAGGACGCCTAACTGGGCTCTTCAGTGGCTTCACAGCAGGACGCCCACGTCGCTTCCCTGGCGTCAGCAGCACCCCAGCCTGCCCATGTGGATGCCCTCTCGGGGTCACAGCGCCACGGCTACGCAGCTGCACGCCAGCCCCAAGCCCAGTGTCCACAGTCTACCTCATCCGGTCTCACCTGCTACCGGTGTGGAAAGCCAGGCCATGCCACATGTGACGCTGCCAAGGGCCAGTTCTGTAGCCGCTGTGGCAAGCCAAACCATTTCGCTGCGGCATGCCGCGCCTCGGACTCCGCCATCTAGGCCCGCACGTTCAGGGAACGCCGTCCCCACCAACACTCTGACCAGCACGCTGTCAACAGCGGCCACCATGCCATTCATTCTTTAGAGATTGGCGCAGAGCTGTTTTCTACCCACTCTCCGCCTCGCCCATCTACGGCACCCTGCCGTGAGGATGCCCGGCGCACCGTGCACGTCAACGGCATACCCCTGACTGTCTTGGTGGATAGTGGTGCCAGTCACAATATCATCAATACTGATGACCTGGCAAAGGTTGCCCCTGGTGCAGCAC